CACACAAAAAAAAAAAAAAGAAAGTAAGGCATCCGCAGGTGCGCGGGCATGGGGGTCACTCGGCCGCACCACAGCGCACTGCCAGTGCGCGCTCAGTGTGCGCGGTGCGCACGTGCGCACACATCACCCGTGAGCGCATGGAGCACGGCGCACCAGTTAAGTGCGCCGCAAGTATGATTGTTATACATGAGAAAGCAAAGGATCACAACATTGAGAACAGTTTCGCATGTACAGAGAGAGCGAGACCACTAAGCGACTCAAACTATAACCGATGCTTCACAACCTGGGTGACAACAGACAAAAAAGACAAAAACAAAATTGGGCAATCACATCGCTATGCGATGAAACCAGGACTCAGTGAGAGACAGAGGCAGCAAGTGTTTAAACTTAAAAGTTAAAGCGTCCATACTGTCTCACACAAACTACCAACTATGAGTGCATAGACACAGAGAGAGAGAGAGAGAGAGAGAGAGAGAGAGAGAGAGAGAGAGAGAGAGAGAGAGAGAGAGAGAGAGAACCAGGGAGAGAACACCGCACCTTCTTCATACAAATTAGTCAAAACTTAAGAATTAATAAACTACTAAAGATAGCACACAAAACGTATAGATGTAGCTCCCACCTGGAGGCCGAACTTTGGCAGAGCCTGGAAGAGAAACAAATTGGAGAACACAAAAAGAAAAAAACGAAGTGAAATCACTCACCGAAACCGACTCCCATCCATCTTCATCTTCCGGCAGCTGGTATGTGGTTGGCCCAGTCAATACTCTTCCTTTTCGCCGCCCGCCTGCAGGCCTAACAATCATAACCGAGTACCTGTATTGCCCCCAGGCACCTGTTTCCAACAAGGGAAGTTTTTCATACCGAGGGGAAAGCCAACCATTCTTCTGGCAGAGCTGCTGCAGCACTGTCTTTGGCATTCGCAAAACCTCCTCCTGCAAGCAGAGGAAGCAGGGAGGGCAATATCAGAGAGAGATGCACCTCACTGCTAAGTCGATCAGGAAGCGCTGCTTCTCATTGGTTTTCCATGGTGATCACACACCTCTCCTTTCCTCTTCTCTTCCCCCCCCCCCCTCCCTCCGCTGGGGTTCCCCCAACCACCACCATCGCCATATTCACCCCCTTGCCTCAGTGTTCACACAATGCAATGTAATGAACTCAATTCACACATGACTGCGCTTAACTTGCGACCAAGTTTCGGATAAACCGTTTTCCAAGAATGACAGCTTTTGACAGAGTTCATAATTTACCATGAATGCCACTGAGTGGCAAAAAACAAGAGAGAACTGAGAGAATCAACAACAATCAGGGAGCACCCAACCCATGTGGCTGAGCGGTACACGCATGTAACTGTTAACAAACAGATCACCGATCTCTACTGAGTCCTGACAGCTGAATTGCGCATGCTCAACGCACACGTGGCCGAACGCCCGAAATCGGAGAGATGTCACATGGAATAAACACAGGAGTCCTATTCCTCCCCTGCTCCTCCACCCCCCCCCCCCCCCCCCGACTCGGTCAATTGATTGCCCACACTCGATCTATGTCCCCCCTTCCCAAAACCCTCGCCTCACTCCTCTTCCCATGGCCCGCCCTACCCAACACCACCCTGCATCTAAACCATTCTTGTGCAAGGTTCATGGTACTCTCCTCCCCTGACCACAGTACACCCTCATCATGACTATATTGGAGCAGAAAAACAGCTTGCAAGCCTCATCATGACTGTCTTGGAGCAGAAAAATAATGTGTAAGCCCTGCATGCAATAAGGATCAGGATGTGTTGTGCTCAGGGGGAAACCGCTCTCGTCTCTAGACTCTCTACCATTCTGACTTTCACAGATGTCCTCAAGGACATAGGAATTTCTTCTTTTGACCTCTTGTATATTCTTATAATTTTTATTATTACTATTACTATTATTATTATAGTTATTGTTATATTTATTGTCAATTATTATATTACTATAGAATTCAACTTCGTCAGCCATGAAAGCCATGTGAGTTGTTCAAAAATGTTAAAAAGTCACAACAAAAAGCATTAAAAAGAGTGACAAATCTCTGGGGTCTATCAGTAGCAAAAAAGCCATAGACAGTGGGCTGGATTATAAGAAACGAACGACAACGAGAGGCAGGTGATGCCCAAAAGAACAACACAAACTGCAATCCACTTTACCTGTGAAGGAGCGCCCGCCCCTTTCCCCTTCTTCCCCGCTGCAGGGCCATGCTTTCCACCGCCTCCTTGAGAGCCTGCTCCCCACATTTCAACAACTCTCTTTTCCTTTCTCTTCACAGCCAACACTGATGCTGGCAATTCTTCCGATACAGCATCTTCATCAAACATCGATCCCATCCCCTCCTCTTCCGGCTGCTCGTCTTCAGCTCCAGCCTTTGTCGTCTCCCCAGCCGCTTTTGTTTCCCTCGACTCTGCGTCCGCCAGTCTGCTGCCCGCATCTCCATCCCTTTTGGAATCACAGTCTCCACCAAGCTCAGCGCCACCCATTTCTTG